CGGCCCCTTAACAATGGCAGAAACATTTAACTAACTATATGAACGTTCTTGAGGACGACAGTAGCCGCTGCTCTGAACAACAGTGTCCTGCAGGTTTTGGCAGGCTACACCTGTCGGGTGTTTGCATGGCTGAGCGGCTGCATCTAGTCCTCCAACTGTAAAGCATCCGGTGCGGTGGTGCAAAGCACCCACCCCTAGACGCTATAGAGCAGCGGACACGTGTTCTCTGGAGTGATGATTCAGGTTTCTCCATCTGACAATCTGATGGATGAGTCTGGGTCGGTGGTTGCCAGGAGAATGCTACTTGTCTGACTGCGTTTTGCCAAGTATGAAGCTCGGTGGAGGGGATTGTGGGGCGGGACTGTTGGCTCAGCCCGTTAGTGAAAGGAACTCTTAATGCTTCAGCAAATCAAGACACTCTAGACAATTTCATGCTCTCAGCTTTGTGGGAACAGTTGGGGATGTCCTGTTGGAACATGGATCAGGGAGTTTGGTGTTGACTGGCCTACACAGGTCCTGACCTCGACCCCAAAAAAGCACCATTAGGATGAGTTGGAGTGGAGACTGGGAGCCAGGCCTCGTCCAACATCAATGCGCTTCTGGAACAAGATGCTCATAACCACCGTATGGATTAGGAATCGAATGTCCTTGAGTTCATATACGTGTGAAGGCAGTATAATGTAAATACTAGACTGGTGGCATCATGCGCTGCGTTTTTGTTTGTTTTTAAAAGCTTTGAGGCGTAATGCTCAACCTTCAGTGTCTTTTGGTTTCACACGTGTTTGACAGACCTGATGCTGTGAGTCAGGTGTGGTCCAAGCATTCGTGCTGTGATTTGAACTCATCAGTTTGCTCTCCATCGTGTCCTTATAGTACCGAGAACAGGAAGCCATCCGCCTTTGCCTGAAGCACTTCCGACAGCATAACTACACAGAGGCCTTCGAGTCGCTGCAGAAGAAGACTCGAATAGCTCTGGAGCACCCCATGCTAACCCACCTGCACGACCGACTGGTGCTGCAAGGAGACTTTGATGCCTGTGAGGAGCTGATAGACAAAGCTGTGAGAGGTATGCAGCCACAGTGTTTGTTCTGACTGAGAGAAAATGGGATTACGCTTGTTTTCTTTCTAATAATGATTTTTATTTGATTCATGTGTCCTCTTGCTAGATGGCTTGTTTAACCAGTATATCAGCCAGCAGGAGTACAAGCCCAGGTGGAGTCAGATCATCCCCAAATGCAACAAAGGTACAAGCGCCCAAGACATCAACCGAGACGACATGAACAGTGAGCCCATCTTTCCCCTGGGAAACGTTCCCGTTTATCACACGTTTCAATACATGCTGACGACTTTGCCACCTGTCTAAAGCAGCGCTGTCTTTCTTGTCTGTTTGCTGCCCCGCCCATCCCTTCGCTCCACCCCATTTTGCCTAATCCACGCCTCACCTCTCTCCCCCCCACGCTCACACTCCATCTTTGTCTTTTCCATCCTCTTTCTTCTTTGCAGGTGACGGTGACGACAACAGGCCGGGGATGAGGGGAGGACATCAAATGGTCATTGACGTCCAAACTGGTGAGACCCACACAGCGCACTGTTATGACTCACGTCCTCCTGTGCACGCTGAGCTCGCAAAGCTCTGCTGCTGTTTAATCAAATGAACCCTCCACAGTTCCTCCAACGTTCTCCTTCTATTTGTAAAAACACATTAATCACTTGTTTCGACAAACGGCTACGTTTTAATGAATTAATTTGAACCCTTGGACCTGACAACATTGTTGGTAGTGCACTTCCCTGCTGGCTGTCGGGAAAAACAAAAGGCTGCATTGTTAGTGTGAGGCTGAGTGATGCAGTGTCTGCAGCTCGTGTATGAGCTGGGAGAAGGCAGCACACACTGACCTCTGTGTCCCACCACAGGAGTCGGTAGCAGAAGTTGGTGCAGGACGTCCCCAGTGATTTCTCTGTCCGGTCCCTGATATCGTTTACATTCTCGTAATTTTTATTATTTTATTTTATTTAGAATTTC